GGATATATCAAAAATCCAAAAAACTCCTAATGAATTCTCATGCTCCTTTCTAGGTGCAAAAGAGAAATAATTTTCCACGACCGACTTTCTATTAACCTCGGAATTGATCAAATAATTCCTTGTATTTTTGTTGAGCAAACGCGAGGTGTTATTGTTCTTTGTTCACGAATACGCTGACGTTTCGGCGGATTTCGCCTTCCCCAGAGCCTGGAAAGGTCAAGTTGACAGCAATCTACTCGGCCAGACGCCTCCATAACCAAACAAAGAAACTCTTAACCAAGATTTCAATCACTTTGAACACAGCTTTGTACACTCACCGCTTTCTATGAGGTTTCCACTAAGTATGTCACGTGGAGACCAACCGCACAGAAATCACATGGAAGTATAATATGCCCCTCCCATCAGGGGCAACAGTCTTATATACTGCCCTATATCACGCGTGATAATGAGGCATTCTTCCCTGCGGTTCATTTTCGGATTTCTGGAATTAATCCAGAATGCCTCGAGAGTTTTTCGCGCCTGTGTTCTTGCTTCGCGTGCGAGGATCGTGACATATACTTCGAAGTCGTCCCCGTTATGTCTCCGGGTCCTATGCGTGCCTAGCGGGGTATTTGGTCTATTTTTGCCGGCTAGGTGTTCTTTTATGCGGACACAGAGAGGTCTGCCCGTTTCGCCAATGTATTCCTTACCGCACGTCTTACTGGAGATCAGATAAACTATACCCGAGCTCATTCAATCACCGTCTCTACCACTGGGGCAAATTATGCAATTTTGAGTTGCACATAGACGGTCATATAGGCGGTTACGAACTAGCTGGCGCTTAAGAGAGATAAGTGATGGTTTTAAACCAGCAGCCCTTGCCATTTTGGCCCATTCGTGGTTCAATTTTCGGTATTTACTTTTGAATTCCTCCTCAGATGATGGGCGATAAAGCGAAGCATCTTCAAGATGCTTTTTCGTTATCTTCACATCTAACTGATGAGGAATTACGACAAACTCACCACCCTTATCACTAACGGATAGTCTTATGGTTTTCAACCTTATCAGCTCTCGTACCTCTCGCATACCACGTTTTTGCACTGGAGTGAGGTTTGACCTGTATCTTTTCGCACGATAGTGATTAAGGACTTTGAGAGCTCCATTCGCAAACATCCGAAAATTAACATCAACTTCATTATTGGGCTCTTGTTGTCTAAAGAACGTTGGGGGAAATGGTGCTAGAAAGAAATAGAAATAGAATAGAAAAAAAAGAAACTAGAAAAATAAACTAAGAAAACTAGAAACACTACTAGAAATAGAATATGGTGTTAGAAATAGTTTTCATTTTTCTTCGCATTTTGATGGTTCTATAGAACTCAGCTAAGCGTGACTGACTTATATCGTGCGTATCTACATGGACGCACGAATGGGTTAATTCGCTGTCGTCGTTCTGAATTGCACTTTCGAATCCTGCACTCGTGATCCTGAAGTGTGTTCGAAGCTGCTTGGGTTCGGCTTTATCAGAAAACCCAACCAGGAACTCCACGAAAGCAGGCATTATCCAGTACAGATCTTAGTTTCTAAAATCTGGCGGAAAAGTTGCAAAAAGGCACCTTACCAAATGAGAGGCATCATCAATACCTGAAGGAGTGGAAGCCGAAAAGGACACCACTGACTTTTGTCGGAAATTTCTTGGCGATGAGTGCCCTCCACGTCAAGTCTGGAAATTTACTGTGGTGAAAAGGACGTCGAAGCAGATTCTAATCTGGTCTGTCTTACCGATGAATCCAACAATTCTAACTGGCCGTACGTATGTGCAAGCGACTTGTGATTCAATGAACTCGGAGAATGGAGATAGAATGTTGTTGTTAATTGCCAGAGTAGGAAATCTGCTACTTAATGGCACGAGGATCTTAATGAGATAATAATTTCTGGGCAATAATTTCGCATTTTTACTAGGCTTTTCGGAAATCAGTGTCCAATTTGTACTTCCATTTTTCTGGCACATGCTTTAGTAAGAAAAACCTCTTGAATACTGTGCTATTAAAAATTGTCACAAAGCTCATTTTATCTTGCGCTAAATGATCCAACTATAAAATAACTAGCGCTATTGACAAATTTTAAAGGTTATAATCTCAGGTGCTAAAATGGTAATTTCAACTAGCACAGTTCTACGAATTCAAACTCGGAATTACGCAGCGCAAACTGCTCGAAACGTTAGTGCCTATGAGCCCAATGAAGTTAACGAATCCACTGTGCCATGTTGATTTGATAGGCTTCACTGTGGCGAATTCGATCTTGAAGTTGAGGGAAGTCGTGGACATGCTTATGGAACTGATGGCGATGAAATGAAGAAGGGGTAGGTGGAGGCAAATACGTGCAGGACCCTTCGAGAGCTCGCAAAAGAATTCGATATATGCACCTCAAAAGTTATGCAACTTCTAAAGAGAACTGAAAAATCGAAGAAATTTGACGAGTGGATGCCGTATGAATCGACTGACCACTCCGTACGATAACATTTGGTCACGCTTTGCTCAACCGAAGGTGCAAAAGTTGCGAACTGGGCTAGTAAACGCTGTTTCATCCAATACACTCATCGGACCTCTCACCTACCGATTATCTCTTCTTCACTCGTCTTAACATCTTTCCAATAGACGTTCTTTGGAGACCGAGCCAAGGATGAAACTGCCTTCAACTATTTCATCGCTTCGAGAAGTCCAAGAATATATTTAGATGGTGTGAACGAGCTTAATTTTCTTTTGCTAAAATGTCTGGATTCCTACGGCTTCAATTTCGATCGATAAAGTCTATTTTGTGCTGCAATGGGCCTACAATTAAAGTGAAAGCTAAATTCTAACACTAATTAAATTCTGGAGAACCTGATACAACGACTTGGACATCGGTGATGAGCGGAGTTCAAAAACCATCCCAGAAAACTTTTCAAGGACACATTCTACAATACACTGTGAACGACGAAATGGTAATAGATGGGTGTAAAAGTTATTGATGCTTAGCAGTTATACCATCATAGCATTGCTTATACCATGTTGCTCAAACTGACAAACTAAGAAATTCTAGGCCATTTCTACACCGCGCATGGAAAAATGGTTTTTTGCTGTGCACAAACAACACAACGTCACTAATGAGGAGGTTCCGGATGACCTCTTCATGCTGGACCGAAGAAACGGTTTGTAATATCAGTCATGGTTTAACTAGAAAATTCTTGTACACATGGATGGCCCGTCTTCGCCGGCTATGCAGACGCTAGCATGATTTCCGCTTCTTCAGAGTTTCGTTGGTTTAGGCATTGTGGTTCACTGGAGTCTCGCCGTCAGCTTAGTCAAAATCAGCTCCCGCTCGTCACTAACATAGGCGGTCGCAGCTCTTGTTGATCAGAGAGAGATTTTCAGCCATGCAACTAGTTTGATACCGTGTTGGATTCTGGTATTGATTTACTCTTAGCTGCGTTTCCTGATGGAAACAACGGACTCTTTCTCAGCTTGGAAGATCCCGCTGAGGGATGAATCTTCCCACTGTACATCGCAACACGACACACAGGAACACCTCCCAACCATGTTGAAGCGGTAAACCGTTGGGAGGAGTAGGGAAGTCAACATAATGAAAAAAGACCGTGTACATATCCTATTATGGGGAAATGTACCTGCAGAAGCTTTTAAAAGCGTACAGTTTAGAGTGAAGAGAACAAACAGTGCCTAATTCGGTGCACATCTTATCGACTCTCCCATTCTTCCTGCTTTACCGTACTCTTGGAAATCCCGTGCAACAATTATGTAGGACTGATGAAAGAGTGGCTAGCAATATCTTATGCGCAAGTGAGAGTTTAATTCAACAAGCTTTGTATAATTTCACAGACAGGTGGGAAGGACAATACAGAGTACAGGTCCTACCATTGAGAAGCGACTTTCCCTAAACCTCAGCATAAATGGTCAGTATATCTTGTTTCAGTGATAACCTAAAAAGATGTTGTAACTAAATATTTATTCGGCTAGCATTTCGACGTCTTCATCTTCCTCAGAGCCGATGATATGAGTTGATGTCCACAGTTCTTCGTATTCTCGATGTAATATCTTCGTCCACGTGTCGAGTCGGATCTTCTTCAGTGAAACTTCGCTCAAAAAAGGAAATCTCACCCTGCGCGCTCTTTTATACAAGATGCTTGTTGTTAATATGACTATCCATTGATAATAATTTGTTTTTCAAGGGATAATCCATCCTACAAAAGTCGGTATTAGTATTAGTATTAGTATTAGTATTAGTATTAGTATTAGTATTAGTATTAGTATTAGCTGAGAGACAGGCGAAACAAAGGACCCGCATGGTGTGGTGGGGAACGCGTTACTCCCCGGAAAGGACAATAGTGCGTTCGTTCCCCACCATAGACACCTGTGGTTCAGAGTTTTGCAAATATCTCAGCAACGTTGTGGTTGTATTTGCCTTTGCCGCAGCAATCACCCGTCAGCGGGAATGATCTGGGGCACCCAAATCGGCATAGAACCCAGTTAAGCTGCGGCTGTAGTTGAAATCACAATGTTATACCTTTTTATTTTCTGCCTATTATAATTTCGCGGCAGGGTACTAAGCGAAATACACCATAGACACCTGCGGTCCAGAGTTTTGCAAACATCTCAGCAACGTTGTGGTTGTATTTCGCTTAGTACCCTGCCGCGAAATTATAATAGGCAGAAAATAAAAAGGTATAGCATTAGTATTAGTATTATTACGGTATCGGTTTGCACATAGCGAAGTAGCATCATTGTGTACTGACTATCCTTAAACCTAGATATAAATGATCAATCTATCTTGCCTTCTTCTCATGCCTTGATTCCAAAAGCCAAATGTCGGGATGCCGATTTAAAAGCTCTGGCTTGGTTTCAAAGGTGTCGAAGTACATCAGGAGACACCGAACGAATGGTCTTAAGTGAGCAGAACCCATAAGTGAACTTTTATGGCTGTGAATGTATTGTCCATTACTCACAACTGATCCAGTCATAGGGTGATCAATGGCGCGCAGTTCGTGCACAAACTGTGAAACATTCAGCAGTGAGGTGGGCTTATGTTAACACCAACTCTCCAGTAGTGGCATGGCGCTGAAAAGGTGCACTTCTAAATGTTCTATTTAAAAAAGTCCTTCTAAAGTAATCGTTCTTGATTTCGCTTAACTCGGTCAGCATCAAATGAAAATCATGGCAGACATAAATAGTCCTTGAGTGGCAGCCGAACGCACACACAAAAAGTTCGAAGAGCTTCGTCGATAGCGACTGCGAGGAAACGAAACGAATGCAAGAAGTGCTGGGAACCGCATAGTGCGTGATATATGTGATCTCTGGTCATGTAGTAGTGAGAACAATAACTATAACACAAGAAGAAAACAATATGTTGTTTTCTAGCCGTGCTGTTAAAACGAGGGTTCATTTCTTAACGGGTATTCCCATCCCTAAGCCACGCTAGGAACAAACCTACTCTACAACAAAGCCAATCTTGTTAACCCTGAGCGCCTCTTCGCCATGATCAGTATGAATAGTGAAGCTCAGGCGATAGCCTCATACTAGAACTATTATATCGAAAAAAACACATGTTAGAACTATTACCTTTATTTTTTATTAGTGCTTGAAAGCGAAAATTCGAAGCCAAGGTCAGTTAAAGTATGAAGAATACCCGTTGTCGTTGATGTATTAAAGTAAAAATTCCACTGTATTTGATCGTTTTAAATGCAAGGATTTCCTCGTCCGCCTTTCCATTTGAGCGTGGGTATCGATAAGAAACTGGTTGTTTTTGTTACCCCAGTTATTTGGCAAATTGGGCAAAAATAAAAAGCGGTGTGTCTTTCATTTCTGAAATCTCTATAAAATTTTGGCGCCCTTGACAATTCGGACAAATCCAGAACTTTCTCTATGTAAAAGCTCTGAACGAACGATTAGAAGAAAGTTCCATTCCTCCATGTATGTGCTTCAGCGGTTACAACAACGAAATCTCACCTACCTCATGTGGATTTCCGGATGCGATATTTTAGTCTCGATCAGTTATACTGCCATTATGTGTGTGCAGGTGAGCGACTTTCATAGAACGATAATGACTAGCTGCCAACAAGATCATCATCCATGTCACTATTAAGTCTCTACAATTGAGAACAGCAAACGGCCCTCCTTCTTCTTCTTTTTCCACTTTAAATGTTTCATGTAGTCTTCCGTATTTGCAAAAAACCTAAGTTGCAGAATAATTTCTTGAGACTTTTATTAAGGTTAACTTTTTATCCGGGTTGTACTTTGATGGAGTACGTTCTCGAACATTCTAAGCCGAGAAAACCAAAGCCGCGTTTGAAGACGGTAGTACTAATGATGAAAGCCGGCCGTTGTGCTTCAAGCAATTCGACGGATGGGACACGAGCTGCAGAATCTGCTGCTCCTTTGATGTGATTGGTAATCTCGAGCTACGGCCAAATTGAACAGTTGAAGCGAGTTGAAGAACGAGAAGGATATCCACAGCAATCAGCACCTCAACTGGACAGACTCGTAAAACCACAATACAGTGAAGAAAAGCGACCGGAGTCACCTAGAATTGTACTGCTCCATAATAGTGCTCAACTTCATGTTACAATGCTGACTTGCAAGTAGTTGAAGGAGTTGAGCTGGTCCACCGTGTTTTGCTGAGCGTACAAATCACTGGACACTCGGGTGGACGACTACGACAACCATAATAATAGCTCCTACATCTTCTTTGAGTCACAATCTCTGTTACCACAGAAGAACGGATTCCCGAAATGTGGAATAGGAAAATGTGTGGCGATTTCGAGTAGAGTTGTGCTCGAGAAAAGTAGAACAAAAGATTGGAATGCCTCCAGTACCAAAAAGAGGTTGCCACTATTTTTTGGTAGAAAATACTACCAAATATCACTCTTCGATACTGAGAAATTTAAGTTTTCAAAAATTGATATCTACCACTGTTGTTATGTATAACTGCGTTTCTTCAAATGTGCAAAGTTTTTCGAATGATTTTGCGCGCCAATGAAAACCAAAATTCGCTTCAATGATTTGTTTCGTTCAAAAAAACATTTAGAATATTACCATCGTGTGACTCTTCTTTAAGAGTTGGCAGCTATTTTAGGAAAAAAGGTGGAAAAATGATAAAAAATAACTAGATAATTCAGATCTGTCCATGTTGTCAGAGATAAAGCAACAAATGATGTGAAAATAACGAAGAGAAAGAGAACTCCCTAGGGAGAGACAAGAATGATAAAGGTAAAAAGAATAATGACGCCAGCGATGGTCAATCTCTGGGGAATCTGCCATCGAAATGCGCCACTGAACATCGCAGTGATGATAGCGTTCACATCTAGGCTATATAAGACCTACGATAACCTACTAATATATCAAGTAAATGATATGACTCCAGCGAACTTTTCTAGCGCGGATTTGCTGGATTCAAGTCAAAGATGACATGGTTTGCTCGGAGAGTGACATGGAACCAACACCGTGTATGTATTGCAGGTCATCTCCAACCACTACGCTACGCGATCCCTTAAGAATTACTAATTAATATGTGAAAACTCGTCCCTCTAATACCAGAAAATGTTAAGACCATAAGACCATTTGATCAGCTTTTATTTTTCACACCCGATCAGAGCATAGTCTCAAAAGATCGCAGTATGCAAAACTGTCCTGTTGGAAACAACACCTTGACCAGTATACGTGTAGTAAACATGTGATTTTGCGCCCCAACATTGAACCAGAGTTATCTGGGTTTAGCGGTCAGCGGTTATCCATGCCGGCAAAGTCATATACTAGCGCATAAGCTCTCATGTTAAGTCATGAATAGTTGCCTCCTGACACCGCGAAACAAAGTTCAGGTTGACTAGGTGGGATTCTAATAGGCGTTCAGTCATAATTCCCCTGAAGTTAGCTTCGAACAATTGGTCGACTGGTCAAGTCCATGAACTAAGTGTCTGAACCTGCTGTTTCTCTCGTACTAAGCAGGATAACCATCGCAGCAACATGTTAACAGTAGGATAAAACTAACCTATCTCACGACGATCTAAACCCAGCTCACGTTCCCTATTAGTGGGTGAACAATCCAACACTTGGCCAATTCTGCTTCGCATGGATAGGAAGATCTGACATCGAAGGATCAGAAAGCAACGTTGCTATGGAGGCTTGGCTGTCACACACCAATTGTCCTTGTCGTAACTTTTCTGACACCTCTTACTAGAAGCTATCTGGATGAAAACGATCTACCTCAGGAGAGTCTTAGTTACTTCCGCCGTTCACCTACACTAACTCGAAATTCTACGTTTTAACAATCGGGGCGCTAGGCAGAAATCAATGGCTGTAAACATCCGCAAGAATAGTCTCTCTCGTCTGTTTTAATTAGACAGTTGGTTTCTCCGAGTCCGTACCAAATTCAATTCGACCGTTTTGATGGTCGATCAGGACACTAAGCCCGAAAGCAAAGCATACAACACACTTATAAACGTCCACATGGTGGTGGGCCACATCACTAGTCCGGCACCAGCGCGCAATAGCGCATTCACCGGCTATAATGCCATTTTTATACTATAAAAGAATATTTTTCACACAAATTTCGGAAGAAAGTCCACAGTAATAAGTTTGAGAGGTTTTCAAATATCCTTAAATAGTTTTCCTCGATGGTAACATGTACACGGTTTGCAAGGATGCATACTGTGTGGAATTTGAGGCTGCAATATAAAATTGAACAACCTTCATTAAGGTAACAGTTCTAGCAAAATACGATTTTTTCAGCTTTTCAGGTCTACACGGACTACTTCGACTTTTTTATTCTGTTTTACCTATGGCACCAATACCTCCGAGCGGCCTTCACGGTCTCTCACATCACGCTGAGCAGCAGCTCATTCCTGCTCATGGCTGCCACCATAGAACGATACTTCCAGAGCACCGCTGACTACCGGTATGTAATAGAATTGCTGAATGAGCTTATCAACAGTGAAGGAATACAAAGTTTCTGTGATTCTACCATGTTTCCTAAGATCGATGAAATCAAGTCGATGAGTTTGATGCCACAGAAAATTGGTCGTGTCACTTTCAGTGAGCGCTGTGATTTAAGGTTTACTTTGGTTCACAGCTTCTTTTCCTTGCTTCCAATCTCACTACCTAGTTGTAAGTCTAGGGGGTCTCGCAGCGTGATCGCAACACATCGAAAGTTTCGAAGAGGCTTGGACTACCTTCTCATTGCTTAAAGAAATTTCAACAATATATCGACACATAGGCACCTTTTTAAAAAAGTAATGGCTACAACTCGATTCAATCTAGTTCTCATAGATTGCCATCGCCTTCTTTTTAATCATAGTATTCATTACTGTTAAATAGCCTCTAAGGTAAACTGTTTTTCGCAGTCTTTCAGGCACGAGAAACTGTTTCGAATTCTATCAAGGTATCGGGCAATGGTGGTAGTGTTGTGCTTCGCGGCTAGTTGCCTCTTCAGAGGAACCGTTTTTTTCGAAGTCGTTGTGGGTCTTTCATTATTACAGCCGATCTGCTGCTTAGTACATCACAACATTTCGAATTAGCTATTGATGAAGACACCTCGGACTTTAACCAACAACACGCTTTCAGGTTTATAGTAGGGAATTACGTGTTGCAAAAGGAATACTCACCCACGAAATCACGAAGTATCATGATCACCCATCTTGCAGGTTGTTTACAACCCACGCTGTCAAGGATTTTCTAGTATGGGTTTAGCAGCATCTAGACTCTTTACGAATCCTGTTTACGACGCGGTTTGGAAGTTCTGGATTCGCAAGATTGTCACGGTTTTCTTACCGTTTACAGGTGGGAAGGAACTTCATACTGTGATCCATAGAACTGAGTATAATACTTCCAAGTACACAGAGGTCAATGAACTGGTTAGGGCAGTCGAGATCGAAAGGCATTGTTCACACGTAAGGAGGCGAATGACCGCCCTGTTGGCAAGGACGACCTGCTCAGTTATGCCACAGGATAAAGTCGGGGGATGAACGCCATCCTACTGCGTTCCTCCACCACCTCATTTACTAAATAATGAAGTGATATCTACTTCTAGTGATTTTTTTTTCCATATTTAATTGTGGTTTACCGCGCGAAATAGGAACTCCTTAAAAGGCGTAGTGAAAGACAAGAAGAAAGAAGGGCGTTGGAATGGAATGTGTTTTTGCAGTTGTAACTGTATATCAAGGCACCCATGGGCAAAGTATTCCTAAACAATTAAGGTTTTTCGCATAATTCTGAGTGTTTTATGTTCTTTTTGAATTATTTATTTTAAATACAACTGTAATCGTAACCCTTTCATTTACTGCCTTTTTTTTAATGGCAGGGTATGTTGCGAAATATAACTCGTATGTAATGCTGAGATATTTGCAAAACTCCGGACCGCAGGTGTATGCGGTGGGGATCTATCGGCAAAAGATCGATAGAACTAGCTGAGAGACAGGCAAAACGGAGGACCCGGATGGTGTGGTGGTGAAGTGCGCTACTCCCCGGTAAGGACAATAGCGCGCGTTCGTTACCCACCGCATGCACCTGCGGTCCGGAGTTTTGCAAATATCTCAGCATTATATACAACTGTAATATTAGGCACTAGAGCATCCTGAGGAAGAAAAAAAGAGAAAAGTCTTCATGTCATTAATTCTTATTTACTGCCTACCAATTTTTTAATGACACGATGTTGTGTGAAATATAACCATAATGATGCTGAGACATTTGAAAACTCCGGACCGCTGATGTGTGCGGTAGGGACCGAACACGTTATCACCCTTTCCAGGGGCTAACATGTTCACCACCATACTATGCAAATTCTTTGTTTCAGGTTACGGGTGATTGTTGATAGCAGCTATAGGTCACCAACACAATTAAGAAAAATCTTTATTCGAGAAGAAAATTCGTAACACCGTTGCAACAATTCTGTTCTCAATTAAATTAGGATTTTAGGGTGTTCCTTCACCTGTCTTGGGGAACACAAATAAAGTTGCTCTTTCTACCAGCACTGAAGTATTTAGCAAGGTGTCTGAAACATATGCACTGAGTTGGAACGAGCAAAGACGGTGTTACCCATATTTGGACAAGGTGTGGTGAAAAGAGACGTAACAGCCTTATATGTAAAAATTTAAAGATTTTTTCGGGATTTATGAAAATGAAGGAATTTGGAGGAATGTTGGTCGGTTGACGTCGCTTCACACGAATCTTCGAACGGAAGAAATCGGACGAGACAAAATGAAGTGATGTGGTTCAGCTTGATCAGCTTTGCTGATCGTAACGTCCGCCTCTCTAAGAAATGCATCTAGCGTGATTTTGGTGCAATTCTGCAGACATACATAACACCGTTGTTCCTGAAATGCAGCATAACGAGGATAATGATAGGAACACTGGAAAGACACAATCGCAAACTGAGTTTAAGTAGATTGAGTGAAATATTGTCCAAGTCCTTCGCACTAACCTTTGCTTTTCTAAAAAGCATTGAAGGAGTGCCTCCCAGCGGTTTACCGCCTCATTATGGCTGGAAGGTTTTGCTAGGTGTCCGGCTGCGATGTATAGCGGGAGGATTGATTACCCCAGAATGGGCCTCCTAAGTTAAGATGGAGTCTGGCGTTCCTATCAGGAAACCCAGCTATTAGTAAACCAATACCAAGATCCACCAACGCTATGGTATAAAACTAGTCGCATGGTGGCAGATTTCCCTCTGATCCACAAGAGCGGCGACTGCTTGTGGTGGTGACAATCAATCTGAGGGAGATTTTTCCCTGGCTGACCTCAGTACTCCAGGGAAACAATGGCTAAACAAGCAAAACTCCGAAACAAGGCATATTCTGGGGCCTGCACAACCAGTGAAGACAGGCCATCCATATATGAAGTATTAAAGGAGTGAAGTACAATTATCATAGATCAAAAGTCATCCTAGTAGAAAGAAATTCTACTTTCCTTACAGAGTTATATGAAGATGGAATACAAGGCATAAGCGAATTGTATAACATAATATACTATTACTATGCTACATGTGCAACACCGATTGAAACTTTGAGTACATTATATGTTAGTCGATCTTCGATATCTTGAAAACGAATTTATTGCCTTCAGAAGGAAACAAGTCATTTGATACATCATCAGCAACATGTACGTGAAGTGAATTCCACTCTCATTTAGTGGCCGTGTCCTATCGCATCGAGGTTTTCATTCCCTACCTGGAAGAAGACGGAGAACACAGTTAAAGTGCCTAAAGCCAACAAATGATAAAGTTAAAGTAATGATAGGAGTTCGCAAAAAATGATAGTTGGTAGACCGCTTGTGTATTTTGTAGTCTACGAATCCAGGACAGAAGCGTTATTTGATGAAACATTCGTATTCGAAGATCACAGTACGTGAACCGGGTATAGATAAGCCATTGATTTTGTCACGAAATCACTTGCACAAGAAGCATTTTATAGTGGAATCGGAAGGGTATGGGCTCCATTACAATTGAATATTAGCGTGCTACTAGCGTGAACCAAGCATGAAGGATGCGGAGAAGCGAAAACGATTTTTGTGTCAGTTAACTTGTACATGAATGGCATTAAGATAATATATGTGAACATTATAATAAGATGTTACAAATATCTTCATACGTTAATAGGAATCTCAAGGAGTGTCCAAAGAACTACTTCCTAAACAATACTAAAGGATTCCGAAAACTTTAGAAAAAAATAGGTTAATATGCGAACCAGACAGTGTACTCTTTCTCACTCCTGAAATATCGGGCTATCGCTTGTTCGAGGCAGCGTAAACGATATCCAGTATGTCCTTCTAGTGCTAATAAAAGGAAAAAGGGTAAAACTCTTAGCGTTGATCAACCCCCGATGGAGGGGCCATGCATTCGATTTCATTATACCTTGTTAAAGGTGATTGCATGCATGTCTGCCTTTACGTTGACTCGCGGTGCCTTACCGTTGTATCGAGCAACTGCTGCTATCCTTCCAAACAAGTCTGGTTCCAACTTGCTGACCCCGGAGGGAGTGGAGGGCGTGGTGAGCCTGGGGTGGAGGACCAATCCCATGTGTTCTAAAGACTCCTCCAACCACTGCGCTACAAGTGTCTCTTTCACTATTAAAACACTCCCAGACTATATTCCTTAAAAATCACATCAGCTTCTATAGTGATGTTGAGCTTGTAAGCAGCCTGACTCATGAAAATCTTACCTTCAATTAAATTTTAAGTAATAGTTGACTAACGGAAGAAACGGATTAGTTGACTAACAATAAATCTGTTTGCTTCGCCCAGTCGTCTTACCTTGAAATTTTCAGTGCTGGCGTCATTCAACACAGCGATCGTGCTGAATGTTCGACGTTCTCATCGCAACCGTACAGTCAGAGCTTTGCTGCTGTTCACCACCATTGGAAACAGGTCTTCTCAGTTTGGAGACTCCTGGATTGTTTATCTCCGCACAACTTTCGTTTCAGTGTCGAAGTTACTCGATTAAAAGCTCGTCTTCGTGCGGTTACCAGGATGCTGGTCATGGTGATTTGTACATATCTGGCTGCCAATATTATCGATGTAATTATTGCCTTTTGGGAGGTAAGCCATTTTTAGTAACTGTTCTCTAACAAAATTCTGGAAAAAACTCGCTTTTTCCTAATCTTCCAAATTTAGTTCTAGAGCATCAGAGCTGTATTTGTCGAAGGATTACTATGTAGTTCCTGGTCTTTCCCTATGCCTTTTAAAGCAATTTATAGTTAGTAGAGTGAGTAATAAAGAAGTAGGTTCTGCTCATAAAAACTAGATGAAGGTAACGGCGTTCATTTGCCCCTGATGGATACACCATGCATTTGATAATGCATATCTCGCCTATGCAATGACTTGTGATAGACTACTGATGTATGAAGTCAGTGCTGGTATTCTCCTAAACAAGTTTGGTACAAATTTGCGAACGCAAAGGGATGGAGGGTTTGCCGATCTCGCGCGTGTGTTACAGGGCACCTCTAATGACTGTGTTACATGATCCCCTAGTTCTATCCATAAGGATTGGAAATTAATTTATTGCTACTATTAATGAGTTGTTAATGTGATGTTACACCAGTGCTTTCACGGTTCAAAAGAACGCCTCGATTTTGCTAAACAGTTTTTTAAATCCATAATGCCTTTTTACTTTGTTTGGCAATTTCATTACCACATTTTTCTGGTTGTGGATGGTTAAGCACGCAATAAAAAGTAGTGTCTCCTAAAGTGCCGCATGTGGCGCAGAGGTCGGAGGCGCTCTGCAATGCGCACATTGAATCGATCCCTACGCCCGTGGCCCACCAAGCCTTCCATCCCTCCAAGGTCGCTAAATTGATGCCAGACTTGTCTGAGAGGATAGCTGCGCTGGCTCGATGCACCGTTTTGCCACCGCGAGTAATTGTAAAGACCAGATGTGCATTCAATCATCTCCAACAATACTTAATAAAGTCGAATGCACTTCGCATTCCTGAGGGATTGATCAACGCAGAAACCTTTAATCTTTAGTGTTCTCTAGGAAACTAGTCTTAGATCGTGAACTTATGAAAGGAATGTTGCATTATCATATAGTGACAGCATTCGTGCTAGTTCCTAGGCAAACCTATCCAAAACATTCACACAAGAGCTATCGCTAAAAGCTGTCGATCATTCTCATGTAGAAATGTTCTCATTCAGACGATCGACATCGATTCCCTTTACGCATATGAGCGATTCTACACGGTGACGACGGATATCTCGTCCTTCCTCCCGATTTTGGCGTGTGCGTTGCGCCTTCCCATCTACGCGGTAAACGATGAACAAATAAGGACCGAGGTAGGGAAACTCTTTCTTCGCGATTCTACTGTATTTCATGTAGTGGCAATTTGGTATAAAGATGGTCAAAAATTTAACGAAAAATGAATGTCTCTTACAAGTTGAAAAAATGAATGTGTTTTCTGTCGCACAATATGATTATTTGTCTTCATGGGAGCGTGTGGCGCAGTGGTTAGCAGTTCCTCGCAATGCAAACATGGTCGCTAGTCAGGGAACCTTCGAGCTGTTTATCCCTGACTAGCATATCATTTTCATAAAGTGCGCTCGAATAAAGTCCGTTCCAAGCTAGGTCTTCAATTTTATTTCCAGTTCACTCCTAGAGCAAATGCGTTTCATCATAGTTCATCCAGTATTACATAACTCATTGAAGCTCATCCATTAGTTCTAATATAGTACCAAGTATTGTTTTCAAGAAGGACTTTACGCTACAGGAAGCTTACTATATTACATATCTAGTGAATAGGTTCTTCCAGAAAACGTTGTTGCTCATGAGTATACTTGAAAAGAATTAAATCATGGTCTTAACCATTATTTACTGCCTATCCTTTTTAATGGCAGAGTATGTTGCGAAATATAACTCGTATAATGCTGAGATATTTGCAAAACTCCAGACCGCAAACACCTGCGTTCCGGAGTTTTGCAAATATCTCAACATTATACGAGTTAAATCATGGTCGTCTATTACGACACAGTTGGATTACTCGAGTAACTTGGTAAGATGCCGACTTATGAACAACGATATAGCTGCACGATGTCTTTGTTGCGGACACGATAAGTCATTCGGTCCTTTCCTTTCTCCTTCATAATACGCAAAATGAATCATTGTAAAAGATAGTCCCACTAGGTACCTCAGCAGGTTCAAGCAACAACGTCTCCTACTTACATGAAACAGTATAGTCCTAATGGCTTCTTTCATTCTTATTGCCCATTCTTTCTTCATGGCAGAGTACGATGTGGAAAACAATCACGAGTATGCTGATAATTGAGAAAAACTCGGAACCTCATTGAAGTTCGAACCTACGACTACCCTTACCGAGGACTAACGTGCTATCCACCACACCAGCCGAGGCCCTTGCTTCGCCCTTGTCTCAGCCCGCTTTTCTTTATAGTTGCTATCAGCATTCAAGTTAAAACATTGTGGATTCAACTGCAATTTCAGACTAACTGAGTTGAATACCGATTTGTGATCCCCAAAACTTTCTTTCCTCCAAGCTGTTTACCGCCTGATCGTGACTGTGATGTGTTCCTGGGTGTGGAGCAGCGATGTGCAGAGAGGGGACTTCCAGAACCTCCCAAGCTGAAAAGGAGTCCGGCATTTCCATCAGGAAACCCAGCCAAAAGCAAACCAATACCAGGATCGACCACCGTCCAAGTATCGAACTAAGTAGCATGGTGGCAAATCTCCCTCTAATCCACAAAAGCCGGCAATTGGTTGTGGTGATGAGGACCTGGGGCAGACTTTGGCCGGGCTGACCTCGGGACTCCAGGAAGACACAGTGGCTAGGCCAGTAAAACCTCGAAAAATGGAGAATATGCTGAGGTCCGCACAACTAGTGAGGGCGGACCGTTCGAATATCCAAGTAAGCAAATCTTTCTTTCTGACTGGTGATCGCTTATAGCACCCATAGAATAAAAAACTGGCTGAGAGAATGACAAAGCAAAGGCCTCGCTTAATTTGGTCACGATGTGAGCCCCAACAAAGCTAGTCACGAGTTGGAAGCCCATTGAGGCTCGCGGTTTTGCTCATCTCTCAGCATTCTTGTGGCATTATACTCTTACTTCGAGCTCTATATGATGTGTTGCAAAAGGATTGCTGTAGAAATCGCTGATTTTCTTCCTCATTACCCATTCAGATACAGTTACAATGCATGATGGACCACAGATGGTGATCATTTGATATTGCAACTACAAATTCCACATGGAAGTCTCGTATGACGTTCTCGCACATAACTAGGTTTACTCCCTCTCTGTGTGTATTCCTAAGGCTCTACTAAATAGCACTTGCTAGTCTCTCGGACGCATCCTAAATAAGTGGTTTTACAAGTGTCACAATCGGGTTCGTTATTCAATTTTAAATTCTAAAAGGCGAAAGTGAAATATTACCTACTCGGGTGCTTGGATCGCCCGTCCTCACTGGCTGTGCGGGCCCCAGTATAATCTTCATTTTTTCAGAGTTTCACTAGTTTAGCCATCGTGGTTCCCTGGAGTCCCGAGGTCAGCCAGGCCAAAGTCTGCATCAGGTCGCCACTACCGCAAGCGGTCGCCGCTCTTGTGGATCAGAGAAAGACTTGCCACCACTCGACTAGTTTGGTACCAGGGCATTGACGGATCCTGGTATCGGTGTACACTTAGCTAGGCCTCCTGATGGAAACACCGGACCCCTTCTTAGCTTGGGAGACCTTGCCAGGGGTATGAACTTCCTCTGTACATCGCAGCCCGACACTATAACACTCCCAGCCACGATGAGGCGGTAGACCATTGGGAGGAAAGTAAAATATTAAATAGACATGTGGCACAACAGGATTTCGATAAAAGCTTGTGAATCATCGTGAACTGAAATAACACTGCAGCATTTGTTGTTCATGTTCAACTGACTGTTTGATTTAGGTATTTCATCAAACACGAGAAGTCTACATGCGCCTTTGCTTCTGTTGTCCAATCATGAGACGGGACACCGAAATTCAGAAGGGATTGCAAGACTCGGAAAAGGAATACGAAGAATTTCTAGGCTCTTCCACAAATCAGCAAAGAGTAATAAACACTATTAAAGCCTGTAAACTATTACTGAAAACAACCACAATGTTGCTTAGATGTAAGCAAAACTCGGAACTCCAGGTGAGCTTCTAGTCCTCAATTACCCTTTTAGGCGGCTCACGTATTGCACATTGCAAGATTGGGAGCCTTAATTTTCCTTTATCTCATCCACTAACGGTGTCATCAGCAATCACTCATTAACGGGAATGATCTGAGTACCACAAAATCGGCATTAAACGCAGTTGACGCTAGGAAGGGTAGTCGCGGGTTGGAAGCTCACCCATTCCAAGTTCTTCTATTTCTCATATCACAGCATGGCTGTGATTGTGTTTCGCGTAATACCCTGCCGTGAATAATATAACAGACAATAAGTGAAAGTTAAGTAGTACTGAAAAACAGCTAATTTTTTAAAAAATTTTACATTTCAGGTGAGGACGCACGGAATGGGAACTTTGATCATGGCAAAGGCCATCTTGAACTCATCAAAACAATCCACACAACTGAAGCTTTTCCGGAAACGACGTTAACTGTGAATTCTTCCAGGTCTTAGTTCACTTTCAGCCATTGCCGAATCAACTTAGTAGACCTTAAAGAATGCTCAATGGGATTAAAATGGAGCGCCGAGGAGTTCCGTCGACCACAGGAAGATGGTGGACGCTGGAAAGAAGAAAGCGATCCATTAAATCTAACCTCCTACATATGACATAACATCTTCTGAAACGCTTTAAATTCCTTTCTATTCTGACTCCTAGTAAACAGAAGCTATTTAAATTTGTAGTGATCTACCAGTGGATCCGGTCGTGATTCAGCCATTGGTAGGATCTCATTCATGGCTTTTTACACTGCCTATGATCATAAATCCAGTAGAAACGAAAGAAAAAAGCCGTTTGAATGAGGTAAAGAGAATGAGGGTACCGCACCTTTTCCATTTTTCAATTCTCCGGCAACCACGTCCTTCCGTTGCCGGCTAAATTGTCACTCGATCTAAAGGTGGCATTCGACCATGTAAATTTCTCATTTTTCTCTATTTGTCTTGAAATAAATCTTTACATATTTTGGAGACTTCCAATAATCTTTATTAAAAAGAGAGATATTCATATACACTCAGGCCGTCGTTTTCTTACACACAATGTACTCGAAAAGAAAACTACCAGAAAAAGAAACTAGAAGAGATAACTACTATAGTAAAAAACTGAGCAACGGATTGATGACAGTCTTTAAAGGTTTCCTTCTTTCTGCAAAAACCACAATGACTAACTTTTAAACATTTAAAAGTAGCTTAAAGCTTCAGAATCTCAGGTGTACTCATATAGGAAGCTACTATTGAAGGCCTAAAGATCATCCAGAAAAAAAAGTAGACAACGATGAAGGCGGACACAGAGGTCTTAGTGTAGGCTTAAAAAATTTTCCATTAGCAATCTGTTTTACTGCGATATTCAAACGAAACCTATGGAAACTGAGCGGAGATCTAAGCTTGGTGTCTATAATTTACACGTAGCAACACTTAATTAAAAACCGTAATGAAGAATAAGTTATACATTGGAGACTACGGATAATTCAGCTCCGACTATCGAGAAGGATGACAAAACTACTGAGCCACTGGGTTAGCAATACGAGACGGATCGACTCTCGACCTTAGAGGCTTCAAGCCATCCTTTTTTCTACACCTTCAATACATTCTGAAGAAAAATTGTTTTCAAACTGCTAGAAATTCGCATTACTGAACCAAGAGCCGTTATAAAAACTACCACCTTCGACATTGTTGAGCTCCTCATAGCAACCGGTTCTTTTGATTTGATACCACAAAGCAACGTCTTTATTGTGTCATGATTACCACGAAGTTTTTCACCTGGAAATTATAACTTCGCCATTTCTGAAAAATTATGTAGAGGAAGTTTCATATTCAGTGATTCTTCAGATCAACTTATTGACTAGCAAGGTGGGTGAGAACGAACTATGCGGACTGTTCTTGACATAACTATGAACTCGACTAAATGTAATCAGTTGCTGGCCATGCAATAAATGTCTGTTGATGAAGGGTCAATTGTCCGGCGTTGATCGATCTCTAAGGATGCGCAACGCTTTTGAGTAGAGATAAGTGAACGCATCTTTGGCCTACACACTGGTGGTGATCTACCGATGCACTATTTTTCTTTTTCCAGGACAAGTCTGCTGAAAATCCGCCAAACCTGGAGAGAGGAAAAGTTTGAATAGTACAGGGTATGGGGCCAAACCAAGCACAATTTGTAAGGTAAGGTACCTTTAACCACACCACTGCACCTATCTGTTGACTAGCATATTTGTTCCAACAACTTAACAGTAAAAAGCTGTAA